TGATTATCAGCCTGTGGTCTGTAATCTCGTGGATCTTTGTACGGTTTTAACCTATTAGCATGAACTAACGGTTTCATCAATTTATGTGACTGCAGTTCACATATTTTGTACGTATCATTTGATCCGTACCGTACTATGTAATAAGGGCCCATCCATTTCGTTTCCAGTTTCTTTTTCTTACAGGAACGAATCTTCATTATTTTTAAATAAACATGATCTCCAACTACAAATTTTGGAATCTTTGACTTTTTATCATAATATATTTTACATTTTTTATTGCGCCTCTTTCATATTCTCTTTAGCCGTTTCATGGATAATTTTGACCTTTTTAATCAGTTCATCAATGAACTGTTTGGGTGCTTTTTCCATTGTTTTGTGTGGGGATCAATTGAGTATCGATTGGTAAAGTCATTTCTTTCCCAAATAGGACATAATAAGGCGAATATCCTATGGATTGGGTGACTGGCGTCATTCGAAATGCCATCATTACACTAGGCAACACTTCATCCCACGTGTCCTGTTCCAATGTATCCATTGCATAACGCTTTCAAGGACTGGGCTAATGTGAATTTGCTCTTTCGCATGATGAGTTCGTTTGCGGGTGAATAGAGCCAGTATAACTTCCAGCTACAATACCTCACAAAGTTAACTCGTAGCGATAAGAAGCATGTTCCCTCATTATGTGTAACGGGGAACCATATCTTTTGAAGATTTCTTTATATAGCACGTCTGCTATATGTTTCGCCTCCTGATTTTTCAGGGGGAAGCACTCCGTCCAGTGACTCAGACTGTCTATGACCAAGAGGATAACTGAATTCCCAGAACGGGATTTGCATAATCCTTCAAGGATATCGACATGAATACGTTCGAAAACGTTTACCACTGGCATAGGATGTAAGGGCGCTCGCATTTCTGGACTTGATTTTACTTCCTGACATGTTTTACATGATGTCACGTAATTATAAACTTGTTGATACATGCCAGGCCAATATTATTTAACTTTTATAGCTTCATAATTTTTATAACACCTAGGTGGCAAGAATTATCGTGAAATGCAATTAATATGCTATTTCGTAATTCTTCCGATACTGCAATTTGTAATAACACTCCTCCCCTTTTTGTTTTTTGTTTAGCGCGGGGTTGAAAAACGTGGTATAAACTTCATTAGCATTTCATACTGCATGCTTTCATAAGGAATATTTTTATTATTATCTATATTATTTGTTAATATACCTTCTAATACATACTCTTAGATGTATTTGAACTATGGACATTGTCTCTTTTTTATCCCTATATTTTCCGCAACGGTGTCTATGTATGCAATGTTATTAATAGTTGGTAATGTAGAGACCTGGGAATCTTTATGAATAAGTCTGAATGAATGAGAGTTATCTCAAAAAATTGTCCTGGAGGAATAGGTGCATCGTTTGAAAGGTCTTCAGAATTTTATTTTAGTAAGGATTAGGCAATCAATTTTTTTAAGAATATCATTTTATGTTGTTTTTTTTTTGTTTTTTTTTTTATCATAAATATATTTACTTGTCAAACTTCCGATTGTTTCATCCCTTTTTGTCAAACTATTCAATATATTTTTTTTTATATCAGATATTAAGCACGAGAGCAATCAGTTGGTCAGTTATTCGTATTTAGTTAATATTACACTACAAATTATACTTATGTGTGTTATGCAGTAATGCAAATTTATTGACCAAAATGGTCAAAACTGATCATGAATTTATAATTTATAAAGAAATTTGGATTAATATAGTTTTTTGTTTGAATGTTGAATTCGGTTTTAGGTGTCACCGTGATATAGACAAAAAAAATAAAGATTCAGTTAAACTTTTATCTTATACATTGCAATTTGCAATGAAAAGCAATCATCGCAAAGGATACATGTATATAGCAGTAAAGTTATATAATATAATGTATTTAAACTGCATGACATGTCACCTTTTTTTTTTTCGTTTTGAAGTATTCAAATTTGATATTTTTTTTTTTTATTTACAAGTAATTTATTCATTTATTTTATTATTATTATTTTTTGTTTTAAACTATTGTTTTAGTAGAGAGAAAAAATATAGTAAAAGCAACAATCTTACCGTACATGTGAATACAAATATATACGAATTAAATTATTGTCCATAGATAATATTGCAACTTTTGCTAGAAATGTTGTATTGTTCGTGTGTGGTTTAATAGTTTCTTTTGGTTTCATCCTTCGGGTTGTCACACAGTTTTGTATTTGTAAATGATTGTATCTGACTCCGTAAGAATTGGACGAATCTTCATGGTAAACATAGTTTCGATTTGAGATTCGGGCTCACTGAATTGAGGTTCTGTAGTTGCTATCTCTCTAGTGGCGATTGGCTGGTATGATATTGTTCCTAATATCACATAGTTTAATTTTGATGAATTGGTTTAGAGTACTGTTTGTCTTCTGTTTGTTTACTATACGTTTACTGAAATATTTTTGTGATAGTTTAAACTTGTAGCAGCAGTTGTTATACTCCTCGTGGTTGATAAATTTCTACCTCCACCTGTGGTATTGAAAATTTATGCAAGGTCGTTTGCATCGTCTCGTCCTTTGTTTTTATAAAGAAGGTTCGAGTCCTCTACCAGTTGTGGGTGAATGTTTTTATGGTCCTTTTTGTTCGTATACTTCACAGGGGAAACACTTGTTAAGGTGGGACTATGATTGTGCTTTAGGATTTCTATATTGATAAACATGATGGTAATTTTCTTTGACTCGTTTGCCAAGTTCTCCTACGGTTCTTGTAGATCGAAAGATGTCTGGCTATCTGGGGACTACATGTCGTTGTTATGGACTGGCTTGGCAGCGAGAGTAAGACTCGCGCCTTCCGACCCTTTTTAATGAAATAAATAAGACAACTCAATTTGCTGGTAGGAACAAGGATAGTTTAATTATTCTTTTCTTTTCTTTTTGATCATAAAATATCGCAGTGCATAAATCATACAGATTAACAATAAATAACATTATCAGTTGATAATAACACATGTATTTCTATTTCAAATATTGCTTGAATTACCTTGTAAACTACGTTCATTCTATTTGTTATACATGAGTGAATAACCTCATGAAACGCAATGACTAAAATGTTATATTTGAATATATATATTTATATTTATATTTATTGAATTATATCGCAATTAATTTCTTTCTTTAAATAAATTTAAGTAACAGTTTATAACTTACCTTTTTAATGAAATAAATAAGACAACTCAATTTGCTGGTAGGAACATGGATAGTACGGGCAGTAGACTTATATTTGCTTTTATAGTCACAATTGAATACCCGACATTCTTGTTCCCCAGCCGAAATTGAGCTTCTTTTGCAAACGATGGAATTTGCTGCCAAAACATTTATTACTTCATAATATGCAAAATGCATTTATTTGTTTTTGAAAAGCATCAGAATTATGTTTTCTAAAATTAAAAAGAATAATATTTTTGGAAGAATTTTAATTTCTGATCTTAATAATAAAAGATAATTAAAAATTTGTTAAATTTTAATTATTATCTTGTATACATCAATCTTCGTATCTCAGCTGTTTGATTGGTTGTTAATAACATTCTCGTGTGCCTCAATGTATTACTGAATATTCATGATTCTGAGAATATGGTTATAACCTTGGATGTAATAGCAATTCGACATCCATCTGTCCGGCAACCTAATAACCTTCTTTACGCGTGCCAAATAACTTATTTAATGAGGTTCTTGACTTTGTACTATTACTGATTATCTTGCATCTAAGATAAAGTTCGTTATTCTTAAGAATCTTAATCTATTTTATTCATGTATTTTCTTCTTATATCAACGAATTATTTGAAATTTATATTCCATTTTACTTTTCACTATCTTAAAAAACTAGAAATATATTTGTTTGTTTAACTAATATCTCCTTGATTTTAATTTCTTATTATTTCGAATAACGTCCTAAATCCTTTCATAACAATTGCACAAGGTCATGTTTTTATCTGACTGTTATTGGCGTCTTTACACTAAATCTATTGGATGTTGGATGTGTTCTGATTGATATTTTAGTCTTTAATACATGCTTTTTTTATTAGTTGTTATTGGATTTGAAATAGCTATAAGTAACTGCAAGTACTCTCAGAACTGTACTTAGTGTCCTTTTTGTTGTTAGGAATGAGGGATGGACAAATACCCTGCCACGTCCAGTCTGTGTTTATGTTTGTTGTTTTTCTGCTTTTTATCGATCTGATGAGTTAAGCCTTTTTCAACTGATTTTTATATTTTGTTCTTATGTTGTGCTGTTACACCACTGTATCAGGTTAGGGGAGGGTTGAGAGCTATCAAACATGTTTAACCCCGCCACATTCTGTATGTGCCTGTCCCGAGTCAGGAGCCTGTAGTTCAGTGGTTATCGTTGTTCATGTCTGTCATATTTGTTTTTCGTTAATTGTTTTGTTATAAATTAGGGCGTTAGTTTACTCAATTGAATTGTTTCTTATTTTTCATGTCGGTGCCTTTTATAGCCGAGTATACGGTATGAGTTTTTCTCATTGTTGAAGGCATTACTTTTTCTAACTTTTGTGGATAGCTGTCTCATTGGCAATCATCCCTCATCTCCTTATTTTTATAATGTAGCCGGTAATAGCAATAAAGTACGTCTGACTTAAGGTTGATTGATTAATTGTTGATTGTTTAACGGCCAGTGGTAAATATTTCATATGTATTCAAGTTGAGAACACATAAAACACATTAAAACACATTTAACTTAAATACAATAGGTAGGTTCAGCAAACAGTCGATCGGGATGAAAATTGGAAATTTGAACTTCAACTAGAAAATTAGAAAAAAAGAGGTTATTAGCTTAAGAACGCATTATAACATTTCTTTAAATACTCGCTACATGATATGCATGATATCTACTCAGAAATTCGAATGTCTTGTAATTTGATAAGTTGTTTAAAATTAATTGTATTCTTTAATATATATTTTTTTTTCTTTTCAGGATATATCTGCATGTGTTTTGCTTGTCCTCATGTACATCGATGTTCATAAAGTTGGTACGTAATAAACTAGTAGAAAATAATCTTTAGCCGATTTAAAAATTCTGCGACAGGTTGATAAATTCTTGATAGACAAGGTATGGTTCAAATATTTCCAGTTGTTTATTGGTCATGGTTCTGACGTGAACAACGTTTCTTTCACTAGACTAGTACTTATACTAATGTTTTATCAACTCCTTAATGTTGACCTTATATTGTTTTGTTTTTCGTATTAACCATGCATTCTGTTTCATATACTGGCCACATGTTTTCACCCGTCTTCAATCTTCCTTAAAATTGATAAGAGCTTTCTGAAAATACCAAATACCTGATGATAATGACAAAAAAGTAAAACACATCCAAGTACGAAACTGAGAAAGAATTTGAAGTTCAGTCAATCATAATACTGGATTTGGTGTTACGAGTTTAATCTTTAGTCGACTATGAATTTCTGACAGGTTGATAAATTCTTGATAGACAAGATAATTCAAATGTTTCTTGTTGTTTATTGGTCCGATGTCAACAACTCTTTCATTTAATCTAAAATGTCTTTAACTCCTTAATATTGACCTTGCAGTGTATTAGTTCTTGTTTTTATCCACCCTTAATGTATACACTGGTCACATGTTTTTATCCGTCTTTTATCTTCCCTAGATTTGATTAAGAGTTTTTATGAAAATACCAAATACCTTATATATAAAAGAAAAAAAGTAAAAAGCACCGAAAGTATAAAACTTAATAAGAATTATATGTATAATTTACAATTCAATAAATATATCTGTGATTGTATGCAAAATCCTGACTTTGTGGTCATAAAAACTTGAAGTATAACTTTTCTATCTATACTAAAAAAAAACAACCAATCCAAATACTGGACTTGGCGTTTTGAGCACAAATGTTATACTCTGAGTACTGTGTAAAGTCTTATGGCCGCTGACCTTGTATTCATATTTGTGTTACAGAGACGAGAAGCGTAAGAAATAAGAGAGCTATTTGGAACCTTGCATATCAATTAACTTATTATTTCGGAGCGTTCCAAGCTACTGCATTTCTAGACTATGGATGTTTTTGTGGATGGTATGGTAGTGGTAGACCAGTTGACGGTTTAGATCAGTAAGTACATGTATGCATAACTACGGTTGATTTTATTGATGGTATGGTAGTGGTAGACCAGTTGACACGATGTAGATCAGTAAGTACATGTATGCATAACTACGGTTGATTTGATGGATGGTATGGTAGTGGTAGACCAGTTGACGCGGTGTAGATCATTTAGTACATGTATGCATAACTACGGTTGATTTTATAGATGGTATGGAAGTGGTAGACCAGTTGACGGTGTAGATCAGTTAGTATGCATGTCTAATATCAGAAGTCCAATGGTCTTCTGCTAATATAAATAAAAGAAGGCGTGAGTTTTTCGCCAATGTTACATCAATTTAACGACCTAAAAACAAAAAGACAATGAGATGTCAAAACACGCTTTTTTACTATACCGTGTCTACACAATATGTCAATTTTGGATTAAATATGTTAATGAGTAAGGCGTGGCTATATATGATTTGTAACATTAATGGACGATGACACATGTCAAAGGTTAAACTTAACTGTACTTTTCATTAATTAAATATGTCCACCAAATAGTGGAGCTTTCTACGACAAAACGTCTCTTATTTTCAGAAAATGAACTCATGGATTAGAATCTTTCAGCAGGATTTGATTTTATGTTTCATTACATGTAAATGAATTGTTGCCGTGATACTTTCATCAAGGTTTAAAGACTAGAGAGCGATTTATGTGTTATTGAAGTGTCCCTCCTTTCAAAACCAATAGGACTTGTAGCCTTAGAAAAGTTATAGTGAATGTTTCTACCTTTCCCAGCACCATGAAAAGATCGATTAATAGATGGGCTGTTGATTGCGTAAGGTCCAGAGATAAATATTGTAAGCATGCTCAATTCACGGAGATATACATTTGAAAAGTGGAGGAAAAGAAACGACTCAAAATCAAGTGAAACGTTTTTGGAGTATTTATTTCGAAACGATAAAAACAAGTGTCCACCAATTTACCAATATCGCCTCTTCGTTTATAGACCACGTTATTCTTTTTTGTAGCTCTCCTTGGGCGTTCATTTTTTTTTTTTAATTTAGGGTTAGGTTTACAAGCTTGGCTAGTGTTAAGGTAAGCCCCCACCCCCTACTCTCCCGCATTTAGTTTTTGATACATTGTTGTTTATGATTTTATTTAAATTATTAGGGAGGCGGAGCTAGACAGTGAAATACCATGATTCAATAGATTATTAAAGTCTCGCCACATACATAACATATATATTATATACAGCAAAATACATTTCAGATTAAGAAAAATAAGAATAAACAAGTTACAATGTATGTGCCATTCTTAAAAGAATTATGAGAGTCTATATTCATGATATTATTAAATATACATCTACACATTATAAAACACATATTTTCCTAAAAATTGTAATATTTTTAAATACCATTTGTCTATATATTACAGAATTTCTCCTTAATAAAATATGGTGGCAGGTTTTGGCAACAATATTAAAAATCATATTATTACTGAATAAAAATAGATATTTACCTTCAACAGCTTATTCCATAAAATCATTATAAGAAAGAAACACTACAGTGAACATATTTTGTCTTAAATCGTTATATAGAGGACATTTTAAAATCACATGATTTTCATCTTCTAGTTCGTTAGTACAGTTAAAACAGGTTCGTTCATTAACTTCTTTTCTTTCATACCGCTCAGTTTCAATTCTTAAGATGCTACTCCACTTCTAAATTTTGAAAAAGCACTACGATACCGCAGTGAAAAATTCTGTTCAAAATATAATTCAATACAAAATGAAGACTTAAATTATGGAACGCCATGACTGCCTTATGTTGATGATCATCATTGTATGCAGTGGACACAGCATTATATGCAGCCGTGACAGCATTATATGCAGTGGTCACAACACTATATGCAGTGGTTACAACATTATATGCAGTGGTTACAACATTATATGCAGTGGTCACAACATTATATGCAGTCGTGACAATACTAGATGCAGTGGTTACAACATTATATGCAGTTGTCGGAACATTATATGCAGTGGTCACAACATTATATGCAGTCGTGGTAACATTATATGCAGTTGTCGGAACATTATATGCAGTGGTCACAACATTATACGTGTTTTGTTGATGAAGGTGATGATCAGTGATGGTGATGATGATGATTGATGATAGTGATGGTGGTGGTTCAGATTCGGGAAACTTCGTAAATGTTTTATCGGAAATTGTCGAATCCAGTCATAATTGATAATGCCCAGCAAACAAAACGAAACAGTTATTGAAGTCTTGTAATTAAGACAATTCGATTGAAATCTTTATCAGAGAAAAAATATCACCTGCTATTGACTGCAAATTGAACAGATATTATTTTATCAATTTAGGGGTAGTTCATTCCGAGGAAATGGAGAAAGTAAGAGTTGAATGCATTAATTATAATTCTATTTATCTTAAGAAGTACGCACGGCATAATGTAATTAAAAATAATGAATGATAAATATGAAACATTGAATGACATTTGTATACTATATGTCTTGAGTTCATTTCATATTGAACAATCAAAAGTTATAAGCCACTTAAAGTCTCTAGTCAATATTCAGTGCCATATTTCATATATATGTAAGACTCAGATCGACGTCCACCGGGAACCTATGATCGAGGTCCGTTCCTAAAATCGTGTGGTGCCATGACTGTACACCAAAACTATTACTGGAAGTCTCCTCTTTTCGATGTCTTATATGATTTGATCATTTGGGTCAACTTTGATCTTTTTTTTATTTTCTCTGAAGTGATCGTTTTGATTTCGTATAATGTTATCCACATATACAAATATTTTTTTTTGGATATTTTATACATATCACAATGGCTTATGTAAAAGAACAACAAAGGATAAAGCATCCCGTCGCAAAGAATTAACTAAAACAAATTAAAACAAAAACGAACATGGATAAATGACAACCGGTCAACCTACGACAGCAGATTCTACACTTGGGCAGCAATCCAACGACAAAGATAACCGTACAATACTGGAGTCATACAATCGGCAACAAAAGACAGCTATCTATACAATATATAAAACTCTGATTGAAATAAGGAAATTAAGAAGTAGGACCAATTTATTCCACGCCAGGGGCATTTTTAACATCTTTTGATCTTATTTCAATGATCAGTATCATCATATTCACAACATATATGTTTATACTTTAAGTATTTAAAAACATATATAATTGTGCATTTCTGATCATTTAACCCCAAAATAAAGATCTTCAGATTACTCGGGACTGCAATTTAGATATATCATGACCCAGTATTTTTCTAGATGAAACCAAATATCTGTCAGAAGTAAACTATGTATTGCATTTTGGAAACAAATTAGTCATGATGGTCAGCGATGTCATTCGAAATAGAATTTTACTAAAACATATAAGATTTGCAATATTGTTTTTAAAAGGCATGGAACAGCAATGTTTAGTGCAAAATAACTATTTTATGAAATGAAGATCTGTTTTAAGTATATAATTCGGACTGTGCAATATATAAAAATCCAATAAGTTTCGACAATTTTCTGATTTTTACCCCGTGTCAGAGTGAAACATATACAGCAGAAAGAAGCCCCACAGAAACAATCAAGATCTACCATCAAAAGTAAAGTTTCCAGATAACGAAAAATATTCAGATATGAAATTTTCAACTTCTGACAAGGATCCTAACATGGGATATGGAAAACATTTTGCTAACAAAATAACTGAAATCCCCAGACTGTAGAAACAAGACAAGATTGTATGTGAGAAGAATTAGAACGCCAACAACAACAACGAGAAGAATGCATAGTAAAACAATAGTTCTCCATTAAGAGACATAATAACGAGTGGCGAGTTGTTTGTTTTTTTTTTCGTGCGGACCTTCATTAAAATCAAAGAAGTGCTCAGTAACAAATATTATTCCTCTTTTACTTGTTGTTGCTTTCATCTGGACCTTAACACAAATTTTAATCAGAATCAGTCATGTGTAAAATATAGGTCGAGGTGACCAACTTTTTTTCAAGGTACTTTGTTTTTTTCAAAGATGTGCGATCTAAAAGATATCATTCCTCTATGACTTGTAGTTGATTAGATTGTGTATCTTAATGCAAAACTTAACCAGAATTAAATTAGGTCGAGGTGACCCATTTTTTTCATGGACATTCGTTACTATCCAAGATATGCGCACTAGTAGTAAATCATTCCTCTTTGACTCGCAGTTTGTTTCGATCTTGACCTAAATGCAAAACTTAACCGTGACAGACTGACAAACAAACGTAGTAAACGCTATATCCACTCCCAAACTCCGTTTTCCGAAGGGATAATAAAGAGATGATAACTGATCATAACCTTATATAAAAAATGTTAAACTGGGTCTGGAAAAGGGTATATTTCCTAATGAAAGTTTATATTTTGATATAAGGCTGCTGTTCATATTTAGAAGACAAACTGCTTTCTGTGCTAAAAAGCTTGTAAAAGTTGGATACAAGTCATGCAAGTGATGTAAAGTTATGTTAAACACCTACAATGAAATGCTTTAAACTGCATTTTCATATCTGTTAGATACTAAATCATGTAAAAATGCATAATTCTGAAAATCAAGGCCAGATAATGGCTCTATCATGACATATATAAGCTAGTGAGATACATGACGTAGGTCTTATAGATAGCTGACTATTTTATTCAAAATGTATTTATGCAATTCAAACTGAAATCGACTTTAATGTGGCACCTAGCTATAGTTCGTCAGTAGGAAATGAACTCGAGGCATATAGTATACAAACTGTCCTTTGATATTTCATTATTTTTTATCATTATTTAACTTACATTATGCCATGCGTATTTCTTGAGACGAACAGAACTAGTTAATCCATTCAACTCTTAGTTTCATCATTTCCTTGGAATGAACTACCCCTAAATTTATAAAATTATGTCTGTTCAATTTGCAGACAATAGCAGGCGTTATTTTTCTCTGTTAAGCTTTCAATTGAATTGCCTAAATAACATGACTTCAATAACTTTTTCATTTTGTTTGCGGGGCATTATCAATTATGACTGGATTTGGCAATTTCCGATAAAAAAATTACGAAGTTTACCAAATCTGAAACACCACCATCACTATCATCAATCATCATCATCACCATCACTGATCATCACCTTCATCAACAAAACACGTATAATGTTGTGACCACTGCATATAATGTTCCGACAACTGCATATAATGTTCCGACAACTGCATATAGTGTTACCGCGACTGCATATAATGTTGTGACCACTGCATATAATGTTCCGACAACTGCATATAATGTTGTAACCACTGCATATAGTATTGTCACGACTGCATATAATGTTGTAACCACTGCATATAATGTTGTAACCACTGCATATAATGTTGTGACCACTGCATATAATGCTGTTACCACTGCATATAATGATGATCATCAACATAAGGCAGTAATGGCGTTCCATATTAAATTACTTATATGTTCTTAACTCATAACCTTGACCATATGAAGCAACCCTTATAAATGTACACCAGTCATTTCATTTTTATATTTATCAAATAATTTTTCTTCAATCTTTGAAATTGTATTTTTATCAAGTGTAAAATCATTAATATTACATCTTCTGAGATGGAAGTTAGAGCACTGGTCTAAGCTCCTCCCATTCTTTGCTTTTCCTATGACAAGCGACACACGGCGGGACTGGAAAGTGCAATAACTAAAAAGTTCATTCAGTTAATTAATGCACTCCTCTAAAACGTAACAGAATTTAACTCACTCGAAGATCAAAGGTAAAACTACCATTCATGTTACAATAGTTGTTATTAATTGGCTTTGATCTAGCTGTCAGTAACTGTGATTACTCTCAGATCTTTACCTAGTGGTTTTTTTCTTGTGGAATGTATAGATACGCTGCCACGTCCGGTCTGTGTATTCATTAGATATTTTCTGCTGTTTATCGATCTGATGAGTTAAGCACTTTTCAACTGATTTTTATAGTTTGTTCTTTTGTACAGTTACACCACTGTCACAGATTAGGGGAGGTTTTGGCGCCAGCAGATTAGTTAGGAGCCTGTAGTTCAGTGGTTGTCGTTGGTTCAAGTCTGTCATATTTGCTTTTCGTAAACTGTTTTGTTATAAATTAGGCCGTTAGTTTTCTCAATTGAATTGTTTCATATTTTGTTATATCGGGGGGTTTTATAACCGACTACACGGTTTATGTTTTTCACATTGTTGAAGGCCGTACGGTTGCCTTTAACTGCTTACATCCACTTCATTTGAACTTTGGTGGATAGTTGTTTCATTGGCAATCAAACCACATCTCCTTGTTTTTATCACAAAGATTATCTAGTCTAAGAAGTCAACATACAGTCGTCAACGTTAGAACAATTTTAAATCGTTTCGACTATGAACGAGATAATTAATTTTTATTGAAAGGAACTCAGTGATATTACTCAAGTCAACAACTTGGAGGTTTTGTAACTTTGAAATTTATATTGACGTTTGGCAGGTTAGCACTTTTATCTTACTATAATACTTCCAAACTGCTTCAATTAATTGCCATTATCAAACTAGTTATAGAGAAATAGCTATTACTAACTTCTTTCAATTTGACACGTTTATTCTAAATTTAAGTTCAGGTAAAGATCGTTTTGTGTATTCTCGTTTTGTATGATATTCATATCAACCATCAATTTGTATGTACCCACTTTGAAAACATTTAGAACTTTATTTTACAGGTGTTGTAAAGACCACGATGATTGCTATGGTCGTGTGACCGAATGCTGGCCTAAAGTTTGGCCATACTCATATGAACTTCAAAACAGAACAGTCAACTGTCAAAGTAAATTAATCAATAATGATAATAATAATAATAATAAAACATATAATAATTCAAAATAGAATGATAATGATAATAATAATAATAATAATATAATAATCAGATAATAATAATAATAATAATAATAATTATAATAATAATAATAAAAAAAAAAAAAATAATAATAATGATAATAATACTAATAATATTCAGCGTAATTAAACATTCTCTCTTTCAATGTGATAATTTGTCTTAGTTTTATGATATTTTTTATTCTTTCCAGATCGTCCAAGTTCCTGTAAGGGGAGAATATGTATATGTGACAAAGTTTTTGTGAACTGTCTGCACAACAACACGTATAATCCGAATAATCATGATGTAGACCAAGATATACATTGTCAGGGGAGATAACAAATTTGAAACTTATTTATCTTTGTTTATTTGCGTATCTAAGTATTTTCACACTGCATTGAATTACGGATTAAAACTTTCGATACATACATGTAAAAGACCAAAAGAAGTGTTTTCTTTGTAGTATAAAATTGAGAATGGAAATGGGGAATATGTCAAAGAGACAACAACCCGACCAAAGAGCAGATAACAGCCGAAGGCCATTTGTTATCCGTTTTACCAATTGAAAGGAGCAAAGAATGGCGTCCAGAATATGAACCAACACACAGGAATAAAGTAAAGTAACAATGATAAATCTGTTCGGCTAAAGACGTCAAACGCTATCCGTCATCAAGTACCGTACACTTGATTGCTTATATGTTTTTGATTGACTGACAAGAAGACAAACAAAAAATATAGTTTAGACAATCGTGTTGAAACAAAAACAGGGATTGTGGAGGCACATTTTACTTTGTTGTACAGCACTGTCCTAGGTAAGAGGATGGTTGAGCGTCGTCACAACATAAAAAATGAAGATTTGGTATGATTGCCAATAAGACAAATTTCACCACAGACCAAATAACGTAGAAAGTAGCAACACACATATTTAACCGCGTCATATTCTTAATTTAGCCAGGAGCCTGTAATTCGACGATTGTCGTTGGTTGCTGTCTGTCATAATTCATTTTCGCTTAATGTTGAAGTATATATCAGATTGTTAGGTTCTCTTTTAAATTGTATCAACGTTTGTCATTCAAAGGACGTTTATAGTTTACTATACTGTATAGATTTTTTTTCATGACTGAAGACAGTATAGTGACTTGATAATGTTGACATATCTATACTTCTAAAATAACGAGGTTCAATTTGTTAACCGGCATGACGTAAAAACGACGAATTAAACTTTCTATATAACTTATTTAGGACAATGGTATTGATTAAAAATTATACCATTCCAGGCCCTTTTGTTTTCCACATAATTAATATTACCAATAATTACAAGATCCGAGTCGAATCCGATACCGATACCAATAGTATATGTCACATGACGTTTCCGGTTGTATGTATGTTCTGTATCTTCCTCCTTTATTAGTAGCAACCCCATGGATTATGGTGAAGAGGAGGACATTTAACACACCTAATCAGTATAGATTCAATGTGAGCATTTGCCTACCCAATTTCCCAGTCTGACAGTGACGGGTCTTAATACCAGAAAGGTTGAAGTAAGAAAACCAGGACGGATTCAAAAGGTGCTTAAAGACAGGACCTTGTGTTAAGCCCCCCCCCCCCCCCCCCCCCTAATCCCTCCCCTTCATTATCACAAATCCCCGATTTTACAAGAAATATCAGTTATATGTACCATATGAATACCAATATGTCATATTTTTACTCTGAATATAAAAGTTGCCAAGTTGTCAACGTGCCACTCGACTATATAGAACGCTCTATACCACGATGTCGCGGGTGTGTTCTAGTTTGTCCTGAAGTTTGGTCTTTATGAATAGTTTTCTGGTTGAAAATACTATCTCCTTATTCTTATATCTAGCCAGATGTAGGCCTATTATGTATTCATTGTTAAAACTAGGTTAAGTTTATTATGGATGTGATTTTATTCCTGGAAGGCTGGTATGTTTTTAAAATAAAAAAAATACGCAAATCAAATAAAAAGTTCACTCTGAATATGCAATAAAATGTTTTTACCCGCTGTAATGTTTACATTGGATAAGTTGACATAGGAATAATATTATGTTTTCCAATGTTGTAACGAATTTCCAACATAATATTAATAATTGGGTCAGAGTTATTTTTTATTTAAATGTGCGGATATTGTCAACAACTGCATGCCCAACTCTGCAGCATCAAGGTTTGTATTTCTTTAAAATGGTATATATCACAGCAAATTCTATGTTCAAAAACCGTAACTCGTACAAAAATTAAAAGACGGACTGACAATGAATATTCTGCATCACAAAATGCAGGATAGATCTGAATACAAATATATACAAAAGTGAAAATAAATTTCCGCGTGGCGAGGACGCAAACAAAATAAGCATGTGTAGCAATAGATGAAAATAAATATTCAATCCGGAAAAAAAATTCACCAGATCCCCTCCCCTTCTCCCTTTCCGAATACAAAATGGTCGTCCCCTTACCTTTCATTATACATAGGTAAATATTCTTACAAATATTTGTCATGTTTTAGAGCTTGGCTTTCTAATCAATCAACATTTAACATCTAAAACAGGCATTTCAAAGAACTTAACTATCCCATTTTTCGAGAGTAAGAAAAAATTAAAGATAGAAAAGGTGGAATCAGAAAAAGTGAATTAAAAGAAACAAAACAATCACCTGGCTAATAATTATAATATATTTACACGGTAACGTCTGCATGTTCACCTTATATGGCTGGACTCCGTTAACAGGGCTGTGTCCTGGCACAGACACTGCTCCAGTATGGTCATGAAGAAAATCGACTGAAATCTTTGGAACGCCACAGCTGTCTTATGTGGAACTCTGATATTACGTTATGTTGTTTTATTATTACTTGATGATATTTTGTCTTTACATAATATGGTTTTGATATAACTCAATATGGAATAGTCATTACTTAATGATATTTCGATATTACACGATATGGTTTCGTATTGACTTGATATAGTTTTGTCATTACTTAATTTGGTTTTGTCATTACTCGATGTGGTTTCTCCATTATGTAATGTGGTTGTGTCATTAGGCAATGTGATTGTACATTACTTGATGTGTATGTCACTTAACGTAATGTAGTTGTTTCATTACATGATGTGGTTTTGTTATTTCGTAATGATGATTTCCAATTCTTTATATGGCTTTAACATAACGTAATGATGTTTCAAAATTTTACAATTTACACTACATGATGTGTTTGTTTCAGTGTTTGATGTGGTCCAGTCATTCTTTGATGTGGTTATCACATTACTTGATGAGGTAAAATCACGTGACCAATTTAGAAAAACTAGTTCTATTTTTAAATTGATTTCAATGTTTTATGTGCCTTAGATGAGTGTGGCCATCAATCGAGTTAGAGTTCAAATTAAAGTTCGGCTTACTGTTAGAGTTTAACTTTGAGTAAGTCTTCGATTTCGAGTTAAAATTCAAGCCATTATTAGAATTAAAGTTCTAGTTAGCATTAAGTTTCGAGTTGAACTTTGAGTTTGAGTCACATTTAAAGGTAGAGTTCGAGTTACAATTCGACTTCAACTTTGAATTTGAGTCAACTTTTGAGGTAGAGTTCGAGTTAGACTCGAATTTGAGTCACCTTTTGAGGTAGAATTCGAGTTAGACTCGAATTTCAGTCCATTTAGATTAAGATTTCGAGTTGAAATTCGAGTTATCTAATATGAGTTCGTATTTAAATTTTCTATCGCGGATCAAGAGCTTTTGCCCGGGCTTCCGACAAGAGGGCTCAGGGGTATGCGTACAAAAGATAAACAATGCTACAGTATACAAAACACAACATAGAAATTGAAATAATGTTAGATGTGGTGTGATTGCCAATGAGACAACTATCCACCATATTTTAAATGCAGTGGATGTAAGCAAACATAGGCAACCGTACAGCCTTCAACACATCGTATAGTCGGCTACAAAAGGCCACCACGTGAAAATGTGAAACAATTCAAACGAGAGACTAACGGTCTAATTTATACCTAAACAATCTACGAAAAACAAATATGACACACATGAAACAACGACAACCACTGAATTACAGGCTCCTGACTTGAGGCAGGCACATAAAGAAAGTGCACGTGGCGGAGTTTAACATGTATGTGAGCGCTAAATTCTAACCTAACCCCGGACTGTAGTGTAACAGCACAACATAAGAAAAAAAATTTAAAAACCAGTTTCAATTGGCTTAACTCAATAGATTGGCATGACTGGGTAATAAAAATCCGTCGGGGGTGATCTCGGGTGCTCCGGAAGGGTAAGCAGATTCTGCTCAACGTGTGGCACCCGTCGTGTTATTCGTGAAAGTACAAACCCAGGGATTTGGTTTTATTTGGAAGTTCACATTCGAGGAAAAGATGACGGGATTGTGGTTATGACAACTGGAACATATCCGTCGTCACCTGTGAAACAGATATTCCAAAAAGTGCGATGTATATCAGAGATTGCAATTTATAAAAATAAAAGATTGATATTTGTATATGTTCAAATGATCATACACGCTAAAACAAAATCGGAAAATTCTTATTTTATAGAATTGATGCTTAGTCGCTTAGTCTGATCCCCCCATTTCCCTGTAATTTTAGTGTGAGTTGATTTGAAATGTCTCATTTGTTGACAATAAAGTACAAGTCTTTTGATTTGTGTCGAGCCTGCGACATTAATGTAGCGGCAGTGAGACACAACAAACACATTCCGTCGTCGGTAGTGGTGTCGGCGTCTTCATCATTTAGATCGTTAGGTTTCTCGTTTGAATTGTTTTTACATTTTTCATTTCGGGACCTTTTATAGCTTACTATGTGGTATTGGTTTTGCTCATTGTTGAAGACCATACAGTCACATATAGTTGTTAACTTCTACATTCATTTGGTATATGGTTGAGAGTTGAATCATTGGCAATCATACCACATTTTCTTATTTTTATATAAGGTTTTTTTTTTTGCATTAAATATTACCGAATTAAACTGTTTTGACATGATAAACTTGTAAACCTCCATGAATTGTTATAAAACTTGTATAGGAGTTATTCTTTAAGATCAAGATAAAGCATCTACAGAAAAAAAACATTTTTTTTTTACATTTTGTTTTTACCGATAAATGTACCAATAAATGTACAGTCAACTTGCGCTTTTACACTGACAGCAGCAATATCAGGCGAGACACAGAGTTCCATGGAATCATTTACGAATTTGTTATAATACTGCTTCCATTTGAGAACTAAGGAAAAAAACGACAGGACCAAGTGGTTTGGGGATATCCCCCTTATGCCCGAAATACAGTAAATTGTTTAGTACTTTTGCTTATTTTTGTCTGCCGTTCCTCTTTTTTATACCAAACAACTCTGAACAACAACTCTAAATTTAATTTTTAATTTGAACTTT